AGAGAGAGAGAGAGGGGAGGACAAAAAATAAAAAGACTGCTGCAAAGCTGATCTGAAAAGCAAAGCAAACAAACTTTGAAAATAAAGGGGGAACAGGAAGTTTGGCAACGGTGTCCAATAGATATGGCAATGGTAGTCGGTGCGTGGCGAGACCCCCAGGACGATGTGCCCGGAGCTCAGGGAACGCAGCCTTCGCAAGCCCCGCCGGTGCAGGGACCCCCGGCCGGGACCCCGCACACCCCACAGACCCCGGGGCCCGGGGGCCCTCCCAGTACGCCAGCCCAGACCAACCCGCCGAGCCAGCAGAACCAAGGAGACAAGCAGCAGCAGCAGCAGCACATTGAATGTGTGGTTTGTGGGGACAAGTCTAGTGGCAAACATTATGGCCAGTTTACCTGCGAGGGTTGCAAGAGTTTCTTCAAGCGGAGTGTAAGGAGGAATCTCAGCTACACTTGTCGTGCCAACAGGAACTGTCCCATTGACCAGCACCACCGCAATCAGTGTCAGTACTGCCGCCTCAAAAAATGCCTCAAAGTTGGCATGAGACGGGAAGGTATTGGGATTTCATTTGTTTTGCAATTTTTTTTTCACTCGCTGCGTTTTGGGGTTTGTTTGGTTTTTCCTTTTTTATTATTTTTAAATAATATATATAATTACTCTTAGTATTTTTAACCTCCCTCTCCAAACCCCAAACCCAACCAGAACCTTTCCTCACCCCCCCTCACCCCCCTCGAATAAACCATCCAGAAAGTTTCTCGTAATGAAAGAAAGCGGTGTTGGGGAGGGTGGGCAGGGAGGCAGGGGCTCTCGCATGCTTTCTCCTGCACTCGTAATTGATTTGTGTTTGTTTTGATTTTGCTGATGGAGGTTTATTGAAAGTGGATTTTTAGTTTCACGCTGCTTAGGAGCGAGATGATGATTCTGACGTGTGGTTACTTTTGCTTCGTGTTTCCTCCTGCATGCTCAGCCTTAGCCCCTGTCCCCCGAGCAGCCCTGTGTGTGTGTGTGTGTGTCTGTGCGTGTGTGTACACACACACACGGAGCCTCCCGAGATGCACACAAACACACACACACACACACCAATATATATACATATATATATGTATATTTATACATGCTCCAGCACCCTGCCTTAGATTGCAATTTTACACAGGCGGTTCAAATTACTATTACAATGGGACTCACCCTACCGAGGCTCTACAGCACTCCACTGTGGATTCCCGGCCGGATTTTTCCTCCTTTAAAAATATATATATATACACACACACACATGTCCACTCGTGTGTGTGTGTATACACACACTGCCGTGTGCTTGCTTTGCCTGGTTGTTACTGCCTCACTTTTCTCTTCTTCCTCTTATTTTCTTGTTCCTCCGGGAGAGGCAGGAAGGGGTAGAAGGGATGGGGTGGGGGGTGTAAGGAGCAGTCCAGAAGTAAGTGTGGGGTGCTCGGATCCCTGCAAGTGGAGTCTTTGTGATATAAAATTAGACGGGAAATGTGAGCCTGCAGTTTTCCAGTGCGTGCTCTGTGTCTGGACGCTGCTATGTAGGTTAAGGGTGAGGGGGCTTGGGACTCGCCGGGCTCCTCTCTTTGTGTTTCTGCAAGAGTAACTAACCTTGGAATACAGGCGATAACAAATATAAATCAAGCACATTTTTAGGCGTTCTCCCTGCTTGTCGTCTCTCTGCCTCTGAGCCCTTTTTCTCTCTCCTTTTTCTCTCGCTGTCASCGTGTAAATTTATTAACAAAATGAAAGGCCCACTTTCCATGGGCAGCGGGGGAAGGTGCCTTTGGATAAAGCTCTCAGCCTCACCAGGGGACCTGCCGGGGATGTTGTGGGGTGATTTCGCCTCCTTTGGTATTTTTTACGAGACGGGGGGACACATAATACCAGCAGCAACAATGTATTCAGTGGGCGAGAAACGCGTGTGGGACCAGAGCCGGGGATTTCGAACTGAAGTGTTTCTTCCTTCTCCCCTCCTCCCTCCCCATCCCGCTCCCCCAGCCTCAAATCAATGAGCTGTTTTAGGTGTAAGGGAGAAAAAACACACAAAGACGTATCCTGCATCTCTTGAAGGAGGGGGTGGCGGTGGAGGGGAGGGGGGAAATAACCGGACCGTGGTGTGTTTTGGGAAGTGAGGAGCCGGGCTCCCGCAGCAGCTCTGGCCGAGCCCACAGCGTCCCTTCAGCTTTTATTGTTGCTTTGACTTGACCCGAGAACTGCGGAGCCTTAGAGCGGGGCCGGGGCTGAACTCTGCCTGGGAAAATGCATGTTCCCCCTGAAGCTGGCCGGGTCCGGGGTCACACAGGCACGCACATGCACACAAAGCAGGGCTGTATTTGAACCGATGGTCGCAATTCAGATATTAATAGCTGTAGTTTCTTCTTTATTTACTGCAGCGGTCCAGAGGGGCAGAATGCCACCCACACAGCCAACTCATGGTCAGTTCGCCTTGACAAATGGGGACCCTCTCAACTGCCATTCCTACCTATCCGGATATATCTCCCTTCTTCTGAGAGCAGAGCCCTATCCCACCTCCCGCTTTGGCAGTCAGTGCATGCAACCCAACAACATCATGGGCATCGAGAACATTTGTGAACTGGCAGCTAGGATGCTCTTCAGCGCGGTGGAGTGGGCCAGGAATATCCCCTTCTTCCCAGACCTCCAGATCACAGACCAGGTGGCCCTCCTGAGGCTGACCTGGAGCGAGTTATTTGTCCTCAACGCTGCCCAGTGCTCCATGCCCCTCCACGTAGCTCCGCTCCTGGCAGCTGCTGGCCTCCACGCTTCGCCAATGTCTGCTGACCGAGTGGTCGCCTTTATGGACCACATACGAATCTTCCAAGAGCAAGTAGAAAAACTGAAAGCATTGCATGTCGACTCTGCAGAATATAGCTGTTTAAAGGCCATAGTCCTCTTCACCTCAGGTAGGCGGCATTTCTTTTGCTCCTTTTTTTTTTTTTTTTTCCTTCCCCGGGCCCCCCTCGAGAACTGTTTGCTCTTGCAAAGTGTTATTGCCTGCACCCCATCCYCGCTCCCTGCCCCCCGAGAACCAGCGCGGTCTCTTTTCCTTTTAGGAAAACGGTGCCCTGTGCTCTCCCCTTCAGGGCCTCGGATCCGAGCATCCCATCTTCCAGGGAGTGCAAATCAGAAAAAAATACAATCAAAATAAAATACACACACATGCAAATTTTAATTTTTTTTTAAAGAAAAAAAAAAAAACAAACCACAGCCAAAATACACCCCAACCCTAGTTGAATAATGCTGGGGACTGGGAAAGAAGGGGCCTGGGAAGAGGCACCCATTCGCCACGAGAGACTGCGCTCTTCCCATTGAAAATAATATTTTATTTAACAGTATAGCTCTGGGTTGTTGCATTTAATGACACGCATCCGAACAGCAGCAAAATCTGTTTGATGTTGTTAAATACAAGTCGTCCTATCAGTGAAACCACTTTAAAAAGAGGATCATTTTATGGGCAGCCAGGAAGGGAAAAAAGCCCTGCAGGATTAAAAATTGAATTAAAAAAAAAAAAAAAAGTTAAATGCGCAAAGCTGAGTTTAAAATATGTTCCCTGCCATCCCATAAAATAAAATAAATCAACTTTGCAAAGAGCTGTCTCTGATTTAAACAGAAAGTGGCAGTGAGCAGTTCTGTGTCATTTAAGCTAAGGGGAAAAGTTTGCATTTGTACCCAGCAGGAACTGCATAGTCCAAAGCGAGTAGCGGGTGCGAAAAGATCATTACCATAAGTAGACAGGGATAGTATGGAAAAGTAAGAGGAGGCTGAAGCTGCCGCTCCGCAGTGTAATTCCGGGGTGGCACAACCATGACTCTCCCGAGGAAAAGACCTCGAGGTGTTTCTTAGATAATCAAAGAGGGGAGGGGGGGGGGGAAATATGTGTCAACTTTTGCTGCCTAGAAATAGTGCATGAGTTATAAAGCAATAATTGAGTGCGTTGTGAAATCTAATTAGCTTGCACTAGAGTTTAACCTGGGTGAGTAATAATCCTGATATTAACTCTGGAGGCTAAATTTTTTTTTTTTTTCTTCTGAGGGGAAAAAAAAAAAATCTGCTCACTAATTTGTGCAATACGTTATCTCAGATCAGTAACTTTGAGGCTGCACCGGCAACCCAGTGTGCTGGAGCCCTCGAAGTTTGGGGATTAAATTTAAAAATACATATATTTCGTCTGTAACTCATTTGGACGCTTGGGAAAGTGGCCACGCGATAAACATATGAATGGAAGCAAGACCTGCAAAATAATTACTCATCAGAGTTTTTTAAAGCCTGATATCAGGAAACAGGAAAAAAATGTAGTTTATGTGGGAAAAGAAGGGCTCACAATCCGTTCCTTGTTGTGTTAAAGGGGGTCTGGGGAACGAAGTCATTTTCTGGACTTTGTCCAGGTTCTGGGTCGTGACCTAAACTTCCTTTTATATATTATTGCTTTACACATAAAAAACTTCTCCTTTTTTTTTTTTTTCCTCCCCCCCAAATTACTCGTGCTAAATCCTGAGGTGATCAATGAGCAGGGCGCATCTAGCCACAGGGAGACAGGGATCCCGAATGGGAAGGGGTGTCCGTGGGGCGCTTATTTTATTTTTCTATCATTTTTCTAGGATGCATTTTCCTCTCCCTCGCTCAGCCGCTCAGCGAGGATCCCACACACGCTCACATCCCTCCCCAGCCCCTGCCCAGCTCACACCCACACCGAGGAGTTTATTTCCAATCCTGCCTTTTCTCCCAAATCACTTTTTTTTTTTTTTTTTTTTTTTTTTTTTTAGCCTTCTGAGAAAACAATCGTCCGATCCTGTCGTAACTGTTTAATTTATGACTATTTTCAAAATGTGAGGCCTGGCGTGTAAATTGCCTCCCAACTAGATAAACGTTTCTTGTTATCTGATTCTGGGGAAGACAGCCGCATGCAAAAAAATATAGGGTGATGCTTGCAGCTCCTGCAGCACCCCAATAACCCTCCCTGATGTAAAGCAGACGCACATAGATGCATATAATGTTTGCTGCAGCCTCTTTTAAGAGGGAGGGGGGAAAAATCTGGGTTCTAATGACTCGCAGAATATGCATGTGTTAGCCCTGTGCCTAGGAAAGCCACAGGGAGGTCAGGTCACAACCTGTGCTCTTTCAGCACAGACGTCTCTGATTTAAAGGGAACTTATTGTATTTTAGCGTATCAGGAAA